GGAATACTGTCCACATTAGCGTTAACATCAGTAGATACAGTCAATACAGAATAGAAATACCTTTTACACCCCTTTCTAATCAATTTAAAGGCTTTCATGGAGGAAATCAGATACGGGGGAGGTACTACTCCAACTTCATTAAACACAAATTCAGGTAAACCAGGTGGACAGAAAACTTCTTGTTTCGTTACACAGTCTATGGTAGCATGATATTTCGTTAACCAGTCCATCCCCAATATTACATCGAAATGGTCAATATTCAATGACAGTAAATCAATATACAGATGCATATCCCCAACAATAATTTCACATGCAGGGTACATATAAGCACAAGTCACAAATCCCCCAACAGGTGAAAATACAATTAACAGATAGTTCATGGGTTCTAATAGTCTATTCAATTTTCGTGAAAAAGCATGCGATACATATGAATGTGTAGACCCCGAATCAATCAGAACATATGCGTTTTGAGTACAAATTGAGAGTATACCTAACACGACGGTCTCGGTATTTTGTACGTCTCCCGGTACGAGTGCGAACACTCGGCCTTGCCTCATAGGCTCTTTCCCAGTAGCTTTGAAGTTGGGTTTTGGTGGAGCAGTTGATGTTGCTACGCTTAGTGCAGCTTTACTATTGCCCTGAGAAGTGGAAGGGCAATCTTTGACCATGTGGCCCACCTTGCCACACCTGTAACAAGCACCAGAAAGTTTATAACAAACTCCTTTGTGTTTCTTACCACATTCAGAACAGGGCGGTATGGAACCACTTCCCTGACTGGAGCTGGTGGTTGACCCTGAGTTTTGCTTTTTGTTCAGTGGGTTGTTTTTACCTTTCTTGAATTTAAAACCCCGTTTCTTATTGCGCCATTCAGTTGCCGGTGAGTCAGTCTGTTTCAGTGCTTCAATATTTGATTCGGCCATAATGGCTCGGTCAAGAACATCCACATATTTCAGTAACTTTAGCACATTGATTCTGTCCAGTATTTCTACATTGAGGCCACCTTCAAACTTCCTGGCCTTCTTGTAGTCGGTGTCCACCATGTGTGGTGCATATCTAGCAAGTTCGGTGAACTTTGTTTCATACTCTCCTACGGACATGGTACCTTGTTTCAGTTGTTCGAACTCGGTCACCTTTCTGTCCCTGATACATTGAGGGAAGTACTTTTCGAAGAAGGCTTCTTTGAATTGAGCCCAAGTCATAACAGTGTTGACATCACGGATAAGCATCCACCACCTTCTAGCTTCTTCTTGGTCTCCCTCCTTATAAAGAGTTTGGTCCTCCAAACTCCGAATTACCTTCGTTCTGGAAGAAAACAGGATTCAGTGGGAAAATTCAGGATATCTCTTGGCCATGTCATCTTTCCTTTCCAAGTGGCTACACGCCACCATGGTTTTGCCAGTCAACTTTTTACTAACGGAATCTCTTTGTTTCTCAAACTTCTTGATCCGTCTGTTTACAATCTGAATGGGCCGCTCTTCGTAAGTGTAGTCATCACTTAGCACTACAATGGGTAGGCTCAATCACATAGAAAGGGATCCCGAAGGTATTCCCTTACATTGAAATATGGAAGACGTTATGCATATGCTCCATTTCAGGAGGAAGCACTATTTGATACGCCACCGGATTGATTTTCTCAATAATCTCATACGGTCCGACATATCGCGGGCTAACTTGCCTTAACTCCAAAAACCGAGTCTTGACCTTCATCGTGTCACTTTTACAAAAACGTGATCACCTACTTCGTATTCTTCTGTCTCGCCTTCTGACATCCACATAACTTTTCTGTCAGCTCTATGCGGTTTTTCAGTCTCTATTTGGATCAGTTTTACTTTCTCAATTCGTTTCATATACAATCTCGGGCCCAAGCAATGGCCCATCTCCAACTTCTGCCCAGCAAATCGGAGATCTACATTTTCTGCCATACAAAGCCTCAAAAAGCGCCATAACCAAATACTTGAATGAAAGCTGTTATTGTAGGCAAATTTCAGCCAACGGTAAATGACTTTCCAATTTTCTTGGAAAATCAAGACACACATCCGCAGTAAATCCTCTAGAGTCTGGATGTTCTTTCTGACTGACCATCCTGTCTGAGGAGTAGTAGGCACTACTCAGTCTCAGTTCAGTACCCAATGCAGTTTGCAGACTTTGCCAGAATCCGATGTAAACTTCGAGTCCCTATCAGAAATAATGGACACAGGCACTCCATGCAATCTAACAATCTCATCAATATAGAGTATAGCCAATTTGTTCGCATTATAAATTGTTTTGACAGGTAAGAAGTGAGCAAGATTTAGTCAATCTATTAACAATGAACCCAAATTGAATCCATACCTTTATTGGAGCGAGGTAAACAACGATGAAATCCATGGTAATATGTTCCCATTTCTAACTTCGGTATAGGTAAGGTCCGCAGTAAACCAGGGTCGTTGATGTTCGGCTTTAACTGTTGGCAATGAAGACATTTTGAACACAAAATCAGCAACTTCTTTCTTCATTCTCCGACCATACAGAAATTTAATTTCAAGTCTTGATACATTTTTCGTATTTCCTGGATGGATAGACAATTATAAATTGTGGCCCTCTTGCAGAATTCTTCTTTTCAGTTCAGAATTATTCGGTACACACAATCTTCCCTTGAATTTCAACACATTATTCTCAAACTTGAAATCCGGCCTCAGTTTGGATTCCCGTTCATCGATGATCTTCTTTCAAGAAGTTATCCTGTTGTTTGTTTCTCTTTTAATTTCTTCAATCAGTGCAGGTTTGAGCAGAAATAGCACTATTGTTCCACCTTGTTCTCGCAAAAACAATCTCAATTTCCAGATTTCTCAAGGTCACAAAGAACTCTTTCTGTCCAAATGAGTAAACAGGCTAAGTTTCCAATCGATTTCCGACTTAGTGCATCGGCAACGATGTATCTTTCCCCGGATGATACAAAATTTGTAGATCATAATCTTTTTATCAGTTCTTAACCACCCCTCATTAAGATGCCTTAAACTAGGCCTAAGAATGCCTAGAATGGAATGAGGATGCAAAGATGCACTTTAAAAACATTTTCAGAAAACAGGGGTCTTGCTCAAGCGTGATTTTACCCGCTCGAGCGTACAGGCAAACAAAATACTCCGCTCGAGCGCGAGTTATAACGCTCGAGCGGACTGTAAAACATGCCAAAAGTACTGGATTTGCGAAAATCACACTCGATTGGGCGCTCGATACCCCCTCGAGCGTGTGAAACAAGTCCTCGCTTGAGCGTCCAATACCCCGCTCGAGCGGACTATAAAACAGTATAAAGTGCTGGATGCATGAATTTCACGCTCGAACGCCAGTCACTTCGCTCGAGCGTGAGTCCAAAATCTGAAATTTTCAGATTTGAACCTCAAGCTCAAAAACAAGTTTCAAAATACCAAATTCAATCCTTTTGGGCTAATTTTCTAGAAGACACTTCAAGACTCATAATATAACATGTTTCAAAGATCAATTTGAGAAATCAAAGCCCAAAGGTAGTTCAATTAAATCCAATTTCAAACAAATTTTCATGAACGTAACTCAAACATGACATGCATGAGTTTAAACCAATTCAAAGCTTCAATTACATGCTCTAATGAGCCAATTTCTTCCAAAACATGGTAAAATCATGAACTATGATCAAAAGATGAACATGCATGAAGCAATCTCATGAACAATAACTTCAAAACTCAAGAATAGCAACATGCATGCATGATTTGAGCTACAATTCAACATGCTAGAACCAATTCATGACTTAACTTTTCAATATGACATGAACCATGCAAGAACCAACTTAAAGACACAATTAAGAGGTTGAATTTCTTACCTAAGTCTTCAATTTAAGGTATGGAAGTTCTATTCTTGCAATTTTTCTACAATTTCTCCAAGTCTCCAAGCAAATATGAGATGAAATCAAGCTCTCTCTCCTATCACTCTCTCTCTAGTCGGCTATAGAAAGAAAAAGGTTGAGCAAATGTGTGTTTAAGTGTAATCAAGTCTCAACATGTTTAGTGTAGTGGCCCACTAGGATGGCATGTTGGTAATTAAGCCAACTATTGCAATTTATCCGTATTTAATCTAATTAAATCATACCAAATCACATTTCAAATAAAATATGCCATAAAATTACATTAATTCTAATTATCATAAATCATCAATCAATTTTAGATTCGGTCGTCGATAAGGCTTCAATTTGCAGTTTAAAGCATACAATATAAACAGATAATTTTAACAGTCAACAGATAGGTATGCACTTAAACAGATACACTTAATCAATCAGTTCAGTATTTCAATCAGTTCAATGACTATTTATAATCAGTCTCAATTTAGCAATAATCAGTGGTTAATCAGTAAACAGTAGTGACGGTTGTCACACGGGTCGTGACACATGCAAAACTTAAAAGACAATTGGGTTCATGTCAAGTCTCATTTGAGGCATCATTTGAGAAAATACATAGTCTACTTGAGTTGCAACACACTGATATCAAGGCTTCGTTTAAGAAAAGTCTAACTGTTGTGCAACATTAATTCAAGCCTTATTAGTTCAGAGAGCTACGGGGTAATGTGTCTATTTTTGTATTAGAGTATTTGCAACTCTGGTATGGATCCCAAATAACCTGTAAACGTAAAGTGTTATTGAATTAAAGCATATAAAGGGTAAGATAAATAGAAAGTGTTAAAATTATCTCAAGACGAGTAAACATACATCAATAGCTACCAAACTGTCAAGCTCTGCTCGAAAAGATTTCAAATAATCAGTGGAGGAACCCGCTTCTTTCCTAGATATCTAAGGTACATGTGTGACATGTTTTCATTATAGCCCACGTTCTGGTGAGGTCGGAATGCTCGGAAGTGCTTATAAATCCACGCCTCTAGAAGAGTCATCTAACCATCGATCTGCTTAACACCGGACCGGCTAGCATACCTCAACTGTCTGTATAAAAATGCTAATACAGTAACACCCCAGGCGTAAGTATGAATGGATTTCAAATCCATCAATAAGCCAAGGTAAACAACAAGAACCCTGGTACCACTTTTGTCACTGAAGAGCGTACTTCCCAACAGAAACAACAATAAGCTCTAACAGCGCACTCTATGGCCTCCTTTAGGTTTGAATCTATGATACCAGCAAACTGACTTCGCAACCACTCAAGCCTGACTGAATTCCCACCAGCAGTAGAAACCTTGTCATGTGCTACACGTTCAGTAATCCCCAAGCCAGAAACCAGTAGTGTAACTCCATGAAGATTCGTCACATCTGGTACGCTGACTAATCTGCCTATAATGGAAAGGCTAAAAATAGTGCCAATATCATCCAAGGTCAAGGTCATCTCACCAACTATCATATGAAATGTGTTCGTCTCAGGTTGCCATCTCTCAACGAAATTGGAGATTAGAAGCATGTTGATAAACCGATAAGTGCAACGAGTTAACAGTGACAGCCCAGACCACTCAATAATGGCTTTGAATTTGGTGTTATTGTCTATTGACCACCATGTCCATGCAAGGATCTTCGAAGAGTGATTATGACACTTTAGGGGCCCTCGTTCCTATAAAACAAATTAATATCTCATTAGAAACTACCATATAACACCATAAAAAATCATATACAAATGAATTTAACTTCTACTCAGGAATGTTTACCTCTCCCTGCCAAACAGCTGCAGCGACATGACTATTGATACTCCGCAGTATTGATGGATCAGTCGGTCCGCCTAGAAACGCATGAGTAAGGTCCTCTTCCTGGACAGTATGAAATCGGGTAAAGGAGCATCCTCCACGGCAATGTCAGGCATATCATCACCTTCAACTTGTCTTCGACTTCGGCTGGCACTGGGGATATCATATTCTATCGGAACTGGATCATGACCTCGACCCCGACCCCGACCTCGACCTTGACCTCGTCCTCGTCCTCGTCCACGCTCTCATCCCCGTTCATGGTCAACATCCAATTCACAACGTCTTTTATTTGAAGCAAAAGGTGTGACACATTGTTGACATTTAGAATCCATATTAATTGCAAAAATTAATATATTTAATGAATATACAATTGTAAAAAGAATACACAAAAGAAGGGGGAAAAAATACCGTTCAGAAGTTGAAAATCGAAAATAGCTATTTTGTTCGGAAGTTGAAAACCGAAAAAACACATTACTTTTGGAAGTTGAATGTCAAAACAAATAAAAAAATTCGAAATGCTACTATCGAAATAAATGATAATTTTCAGAATTCTACTTCTGAACAAGTAGTTTATTTTCTGAAAACCAGTTCTGAATGAGGAACAGAGTGCTCAATTACAGTGGGCTATGCGTTCGTTTCGAAGATGGTAAAAACAAACTCTACATTACAAATGAAATAGGAATAATGATTAAAATAAGTAAACTAACCTAAGTTCTCCAAATATGAAGAATTCCTTCAATGATTCATTTGAGATGTCTTCAATGCTTCACTGAGATGTTTTCAATAGATGGATGCAGCTTTTGGGGACGAAAGGTAGAGTGTGAGAGATGGGTGTGTGTGTGAGAGAGACGAGTCTGGGGGTCAGAGGGGTTTGTGTGTGACAAACAGGTCTAGGTGTGTATGTGTGATTTACATTTGGGGGTAGATATGAAATAAAAAGTGTGTGGAGTGAGCAAAATAAATTGGGATTAATTTTTTAAGTGTGTGCATTGAGAAGAATGTATACAGAGAGGAATCAATGTGTGCAAATAGAAGCTCCCTAAAATACTTTATCTATAAGGACATGGTTAGACAAAATAACCAAAATACCTAGGTATATATATATATATATCACCATTATTTCGATTTATTCCCAAACTCTCTCTCTCTCTTTTGCTCTCTACTCTGATCTAAACCCTAGCTACCGTCGTCTCTGCTATCTCTCCACCGCCACCTTTAACGTTAGTGACTCATTGCTCATATGTTTGTCTCTCTCTCACAGCTTCGAAGACCCTAGGTTGAGGAGGATGCAGAATATAGGTAGTGGTGGTGGTGGATTCGCTGCTGTTGCAAATCGATCCGAGAGATCTATATAGATCAACACCACCGATTTGGCACTCTCTCTCACTTAGGGGCCTTTAGCGTCGTCGCCACCATAATCACCATTACTAATGTTCTTGTAACAACCCTGACCCATGATTAACGTTAATCCATGCTTAATTATGCCTAATAAATAATTAAAGTGAAATGCTGCAACATATGTTGCCTTATATATATTTATATCTGTTTAACATAGAAAGATCTGTTTATGTTCCCGTTTCGGTTTGCGAATTGAAGGCCTTATTGGCATCCGATTCAGAAATTGACTTGATTTATGTTAATTTGAATTTTTAGAATTTTATGGTAGGTTTAATTGAAATTTGATTTGGAACGATTAAATTATATTAATTTAATGCCTATTTGATTGGCTTTAATGAACCACCACTAGGTAAGCCTATATAAGGCCACCCCCATCACCTCTTTTATACTTTATACTCTCATTCACTCATATCTTTGAACTCAAACGTAGGAGAGAGAGAGAGAGAGAGAGAGAGAGAGAGAGAGATGGGAAAGGAATTGAAATAAAGATCTTGAAAAGAGAGATTTGCTATGAATTGTTGAAGAATAGGAGTGAATCTGGAGATTGAAGCTTTTACACTTATGAATCTAACGCTCTAGGTAAGAATTCTAGTCTTTGACCTTGTAAAGTAGTTGATTAATGCATGGAAACAAGTGAATTAGGTGAATTCATAGGGGAATTGTGCTAGAATTGAAGAAAGTTAAGTCATTCCATACATGCATGCATATATCATAGCATTTTGAGTTTGAATTTCAAACAAATCCTCCATGCATATGTCTATCTTGATTTTGTTTTGAGAATTTATCACATTTCTTACCATTTAACCTTAATTGATCATATTTTGAAAAGCCTTAGTTCAAGAAATTTACATGCATGTCATATCTATATTATGTTTTCATAATTCAAGTTTGAGTTTACTCAATTGTCAAGCTTAGGGGCCTTGATTTCATGAAATGATCCTTAATTCTTAATATTTTTAAAGTCTAGACATGTTTCCTTGAGTTTTGGCCCAAAATAATAAGATTTGTGGTTTTGAAATTGAGTTTTAAAGCTTGAAAGCAATTCTGAAAATTCTAGAATTCTACTCCTACACTCGAGTGAAGGAATCCATGCTAGAGTGACCATTCTGAGTGCATGCACTTCCGCTCGAGCAACCAGAAGTCCGTTCGAGCGTGAAATGCATGCTCCCAGAAGTTCTTATGTTTTGCAGACTGCTTGAGCGACAAGAGTTAAGCTCAAGCGAGGGCATGTCTCTCACGCTCAAGCGAGCGTCGAACGAGAATCGAGGGAAAAAATTAAGCAACCAGCACTTTTACAAAAGTTTGCAGACTGCTTGAGCGAGAGATCTTGTGCTCGAGCGACCACTCACATTTTGCATGTCCACTCGAGCGTAGGAAGTTATGCTCGATCGAGGACCCTGTTTTCAACAATTTTTGTTAAGTGTTTTCAAGTGCATTTTTGCATCCTCTTTCTATCCTAGGCATTCCTAGGCCAAGTTTAAGACACCATAATGAGGATAGAAAAGTAGAAACACACCAAGACAAGAAAGAACTAAGTTAATGATTCCGGGTATGTAATTCAGTACGTATTCGTCCTGTATCTGTGTAGATCACGTGCCATGAGATATCTAAATTGCCTACTTTGCTCGTTTACTAGGAGCCATCTGTTATTTGTGAGTAATAACTTAGTAAAGCTATATTCAAGTTAAATTATTTTATGTATATGGAATAAGATTTGTTCTATGAAATGCTATGTTTTGTACTATGAATGATTGTCCAAACTCTGACAAATATTTGTGGCATTAATGCTGTGATTCAAGCATGCTGTCTGTACCCGAGCCAGAGGTTTTTTATGGAACTGACAAGTTATCTGCACCCGGCTAGAGGTTCCTATATGGAACTGACAAGTTATTCGTTCCTAGTCCGGAGATTCCTTTATGGAACTGACAAGTTATCCGTACCCGGTCAGAGGTTCCTCTATGGAACTGACAAATATAATCTTTGATACTCTGTATGTGATTTGTTAGAGCTAACGGATGAACTATATATGATCAAGCATGAATTCTGAATTCTATATATGAATTGAATAAGAATACGAACATGAATCTATTCTATGTACAAGCTTAGTTATGAGACATCATTCATTTAACCCTTTTACTCTATTATTATTCACTAGACTCTCGTTCACTATTTATATTATGTATGTAGGTGATCAGGCACGTAACCAGGCTCAAAGTTGAGGACCTGGTGTTTTAGTTTTTGTTAGCCAACCTTTGTGCCTCTCGAGGAGGTTCTGGATTAAGTCAAGACTAGTGGCTGTGTTATTATAAATGTATAAGACTTTGTTCCTTTTGCTTCATGAACAAGTTTTTCTGTACATGAAGTGATGTGTAAATACTGTATCTTTTGACATCATTTGTATGTTTATAAAAGTTTAAGATTATCTGTCCCATGTATGTCTTCACAGCTCGATGGACTATGTATATTTTTTGTATTTGCTTCCGCAGCCCCTAATTATATATTATCATGTTAAGAGGCCTTTGGTAATCCAAGGATTACTGGCCGGTTACGACACTAAATCTATAGGGACGGGTTTGGGTCGTGACAGTTCTTGTCGTTTATTGGCATAGAGAGATAAGACGATCTAATAGCTGAGAGGAACACAACAACTACAAAGATTGTCACGAATCAAAGATCTAGCAACAAGAGTCAAAAAGCAGACCATAGCTCCAAAGATTGGATCTCTTCGACTAAAGCTTTAGATTGAAGCCAGATCTTGATTAGTGCTGCAGATTGAAGTTAGATCTTGGTTAGGGCTTCATATTGATGTCAAAATAGTCCGCGAGATTCATATTGAAGTCAAACTAGAGTTGTGAAGAAAAATCATGAGTCGCGAAGGAGTCCAAGGTTAGATTGAGTAGTGATTTTCCAATAACTATCACTGATGATCAATTTGACTCTGGATTATGGTTTTGATTTTGATGATCCGAAAGCATATTATGATTTTTATTTTGGTTTTTGTTTTGATTTCGGTTGCTAAGGACAATGAAGAGGAAAAGTCATGTACCACTCTAATTTATTAATCTGTTCTGAACAGATCACAACATAGATCCGTTTGAACGTATCTAATAATTTTATACATTTCTCTCTGAATCTCTCTTTATTTGTTGTTCTATCTATTGTTGTTGTTGTTGTTGTTGTTGTTTTTCCAAAGGATATATCTAAGGAGCAAAGGATTCCAATAGATAATGGATCCAAAAAAATTTGAACAGATATTTTCAACAGATAAGAGATAAAAATAAAAATTTAAACAGATAAAATTTAAATAGATAGGTTTAAAAATTGAACAGATAAAAAAATAAATAGATAGGTTAAAAAAATTTAACAAATAAGTTAAAAAAAAATTAACAAATAGATAGTCCAACAGATATATACAAATTTGATAAATAAGTTCAAAAAAATTAAACAGATAAATTAAAGAATAAAATTGAAAATAAAATGTTTCCCAAAATAACAAATAGACTTTTCACCGCAATATTTTATAAAACTGGACTTTTCACCAAGAAAAAATACCCATATAACCTGGTATCTTATATCTTCCTTAAATTTAATTTTTTAACATATTTCTCAAAAACTTATTCACATGATTTCAATTATTTCTCAAAAATAAAATTTATAATACCCCACATTTTTCATTAATCATAACTAGAATTATTACCTGTGTTATTGTTGGCTACATATTTTGTAAAAACCAGTTACAGTTCGACACGTGGCAGAGTAAGGGTAATAAAGGAAGGTTATTGTATATGGGTTGCACTCTGTTGGCTACATATTTTGTAAAAGCCAGTTACACTTTGACACGTGGCAGAGTAAGGGTAATAA